GGCCCGAAACGTCAGCCTTTCTGCTCCTATGATGCTGCTTGGCCTGCTGTGTTCATCCAGCCCTGCACCTTGTTGTCTGTGACCTAGAATGGACATCTTTCTTATGCCTTTACAGTGCAAGATTGGAATTTTAATAATGAGATGCCCATGTAGTGAAAAAAATCACAGACTATTTTTATCTGTATTCCTTAGATCTATCCTTGTTAACTCTTGGATAAACTCTACCTGTGTTTCGCTTGTGTAAATGACTTTCGTGGTCAGTTGGTAGAAGTAACCACAACTGTGTATTGGCCTTTCATGAAAGGGATTGGAATGCAGAAACAAGGAATTCTTGCTACAGTTGCTTAGGGCTTTGTTGAAACCATAGCTAGAATACCTTGCTTCGTTTTGGCCTACATATCTAAGGTAGGATGTACTTGCCTTGGAAATGATACCACTGTGCCACAAGACCCCCAACATAGTTCTGATGAGTGAACCACATTCAGTCTTTAACTAGATCACCACCAACACCACCACGACCACCACGACCCGGGTTCGATTCCACACCTGGGCGATTGGTCCGTCTCGAGTTTGCACATTCTCCCCGTGTCTGTGTGGGTTCCCACCAGGTGCTCCGATTCCCTTCCACAGTCCAAAGATATGCGGGTTCGTTGTTCAGGGAATCAAAGGATATGATGAGGAAGCAGGAATGTGGAATTGAAGCAAAATATTAACTTCAATCACATTGAGTGGTCAGGCACCTTAAACGGTTATATGGTCTACTCCCTGCCTTATTTCTAATGTTCTTAATATCAGTAATGTTCAAGAGCAACATAATGGTGTAAAAAACTTGTTTCTTATCTGTATTGAAATGAATGTTTCAATATAAGGAAACGAACAATTACTGAATGTAGCAACTCAAAGTCTTTTATTCCAACATCAACCACGTTGGTATGAATATTAGAACCATTAGCAGAAGAATGCGAAGTTCTCTTTTCAATTTTGTTCTCTTCATTTCTATTGCTGCCCGTTTTAAGGTGTTGGCTTCTTACTGGGAGTCTAGTCCCATAAGTGATAGTCATCCTCCAGTAGTTTGCCCCATTATTGTTCTTTCAACTTAAGAAACTGAGGGATAGACAAAATAAAGAACTTTCATTGGTGCAGTAGTTTGCATGATATCCAAGGTGTCCCAGAAGCAGTTTGCAAGCAATTATTGTTTTTGAAGTGTAGCTATGGTTATTATCCAAGCAAATGTGACAGGCCTTTTAATGATTTAGACAAAATGACTTGGTGTAATGGATCAAAGTTTGCTGATCATAAAGGGATAAATGCTGTGATGTGGATATACTGTACAAGTATGTATTTCTTTGAACAACAAAGTGGCAGATGGAATGTCACCTTGGGAAATGTGATCTTTTTCACCTCAATAGTTAGATTGGAAAAAGCAGAACTTTTAAAAGACACGTAACTTTTAAATGTTGATGTTCAGAGAGGCTTCAAAGCACTTGGGTAACAATAAAAGAGATTTAGCTTGCAGGTACAATTAGAATTTAAGCAATCATGAATGCAAATTGGTTGTAGTTCTTTTGTTGTAAGGGGAGTGAAAGAACAAAGAAGCCTTGGTACAATTGTATTTGGGTTTGGGGCTCCCTTGTTAAAGTTCAATACTCTGCTTTGCTCTCAATAACCCAGGAAGCATAAACATACCATTGGAATAAAATATTGAAAGTTCATTGATTTGGTTTCTAAGATGAGAAGGTTGTCCTATAATATAAGACTGAGTAACGTATGCTTCTGCTCATTATAATTTACCATTTGAAACCTAAGTAATTATCGAGGGATGAAAAAACCAAATGCTATTAAACCTTGCTATAGCCTCCTTCAACAGCATATTCCAAACCTCTATCACCCAGAAGATAGGTAACAGAAGCTTAAGATTTATTGATGTTCTGAGTCTCCCCTTCCAAGAATTTCCCAAAAGCAATTCACTTGCAATAATTTGAGTGCAGACTTCATTGTCAGCACTGAGGTAATGGCTATCTTCCCTGTTTTGATCGTACTGGTTGAGGGATAAATGTTGAAACAGACAATCTTCCACATTCATTTGCTATTTTACATTCATCTGACAGAGTCTTCTGAGGAAGTCTCTTCCCAAGGAAATCTCTGACGATGCAATATTTCATCAGCATTGCTTGGGTGTGTCAGGCTACATTCACATATTCTAGCCTTGAATCAAATCTTGTGCCTACAATGTTCTGACTGAAATGAGAGTGAGCCAAGCTGATACTGTTTCACTAAATGAAACATTCTCTAGGTAGCTGTGAATGAAATTCCAAAAAGCAAAATAGTACAGATTCTGGAAATCTGAAAAATAAAAATCAACCTGCTGGAAAAACTCAGCAGCTCGGGGTAGACAGAGTGAATGCTTTGACTCTAATCTAACTCCTTTTCCTAGGATATAACTCTTCAGTCCTGAAGGACCGTCATATTTGATTCAAAACATTGACTCTGTTTCTATCTCCAAAGATGTTGCCAGACCTAATGAACATTTCAGTACATCCCAGTTGCATTTGACGTGAAGCTCTCTCTATTCTGCCACAGCAATCTGCTATGAATGCTTACCTTATATTTTCCACTTGTCGCACAAGTCATGTTTTGGCTGTACAGGACATTAGGTCACTTTTGGAATACTGAGTTCAATTCTGGTCTTCCTGTGATAGGAAAGATGTTGAGGCACTTGAAAGGGTTCAGAAAAGATTTACTAGGTTGTTGCCAGTGTTGGAGGGCTTGAGCTTTGGGGAGAGGCTGAACAGGTTAGGGCTATTTTCCCTAGAGCCTCAGAGTCTGCAGGGTGACCTTACGGATGTTTATAATATCATGAGGGACATGGATAGGGTGAATGACCAAGGTCTTTTCCCCAGGATGACGGAGTCCAAAACTAGAAGGCATAGGTTTAAGATGAGAGGGGAAAGATTTAAAGGGACCTGAGGGGCAACTTTTTCACACAGAGGGTGGTGCATGTGCTGAATGAGCTGCCAGAGGAGTTGCGGAGGCTAGTACAATTACAACATTAAAAAGGCATCTGGATCTTATATGACTAAGAAGGGTTAGGAGGTATATGGGCCAAATGCTGGCAAATGGGACTAGCTAAATTTAGGATGTTTGATCTGCATAGATGATTGGACCAAAAGATCTGTTTCTGTGCTGTATATCTCTATGACTCTAAGTCTTTGTTTACTTAATTTACTCAAACTAGGAGGTAGCAGTTGTTTACACGTTGCTTCATTCTTATGAAGCACTGGTTGAACACCTTTTTCCCTTTCACCCCATCAATCTGCGAATGTACTGAATAATGTGTCTAAGTCGCAGTTCTGTGTCTGACCACTGAAGGCCTAACAAGATTTTTTAACCATGTCAGTACCACACAGGAACCAAATCTTGCATGTTATAAACAACAGAGAATGCTGGGGAAACTCAGCAGGTCTGGCAATATCTGTGGAGAGAGATTTAACATTTTGAACCCAGTATGACTCTTCAGAGTGCTACCAGACGTACTGAGTATCTCCATCATTAACTGTGTGTTTGGTTCAGATTTCCAGCATCTGCAGTTTTTTTTTGATTTTATTCAAATCTTGCCTGTTTATTTTTGCATGTGTACTTTTGAGAGGGATTGTTGGATAGTAATTAGAGAAAACACTTGTCTGTTTTCTCCTCTTCAATGCAAAAGTAGTCAGACCCCCTTTATAGCAACCCCTGCCAGTGCCTCAACTAACACCACATTGGTTGAGGCTTGAACTTGGAACATTCCTGGTTGCTTGACACTGAGTCAGCAAGTCAGCCAGCTGAGCAACTGGGAGAGTTAGTGATATGGAACTCGAATGTGACCAGAGTTACTGAGCCTTTGCTGTCATTGGGAGTGCTGGTTTGTAATATCCACCAACTAATTGCTACATTAAAAATTGAGCTAACTAACTGCATTAAGTATTAGTCAAAAGTTGCTGAAAGTTTACATTTAGTAATGATTTTTGCCATTCTTTACAGGTGGAACCTGACTTGGTGATACTGATTGTGTACCTATGTGGAAACTTGGCATTTCTGATAGCTCTTCTCGTGGGAATTGGACAGACTTAAAGTCGCATTTGGAAGTGAGACCACAACGGATATATATTAACATCATCACTAATATGGATATACATATATATTAATATGATTGGTGCAACATCACCATATCATAGCAAACCTTGAGCCTGAGCTATGTCCTAAAATGTACATCTCTCAGGACAGAAGAAATGTAACAGGAGTACAAAACAGCTCCATAGTTGCAGAAAATTTGATTGTGAAACATAATTATTTTGTTCAAATTATCATAACTCCTCTGGTCTTTTGATGCAATGATTCAATGAAACATTTTGTTAAATCATTAAGTACAGCCATCATTACATAAAACCCCAATATGCAATTATAAATTTTCCCTCTCATTGAAATGGTAGCAATTAATTAGAAGTA